ACCGCCGTGTTAAGTGTCACGGATGGAGGGCGCCCAGGTGAGGGTGTCAAAGAGAAACGGGGGGGTATAGACCTTTTAGCTCTGACTTCCTGTTGGGCGTTAGGAATGGTGCGATAGTGTGTTTGTGTGTGTGTGTGTGTGATGGACAATCAATCAAACAATAAGCTAATTGGATCCTCCTGGCCTCTTCACGTGAGACTTCAGATGAGCCTCTCGAAGCTTTGCAGATAGCAGATGGTCTCGATTGTGGTCGATCCCGCTGTGTGCAAGCAGATTACGACAAATCAGGCGCTAACAATCAACCAGATAACACAGAGGTGACACCGGCCCAGTGCTATTGGACACAAACAGCTGTAGAGGTGAGTCAGTGTAGGCTTTGCTAGAAGCACTTTACTATTATCGTAGACTGTGCTGCCCTCTAGTGGCTGAACATCCTGTGTGCGGCAAAAATATTTGCCTGTATATCACTGATCTCAACTTGTATCTTATTTGGACTCGTGCCTCTTATGACACATACACACACGCACAAAAGCTGGCAGCCAGCAAACCAGATAAGCCCGTTGGGATCTTTTCTGTGAGAAAACGTGGCATTGTATGGGTCTTCTGCGCTGACCTCACCTCAGAAGAAAGGATAGCGGCCTTCCAACACCGGCACTGTTTAGATTACAGCTGAGTGCACGAGGAAATGGGTTAGGTGAACGGTGCTTTGTGTGGTGCCGGCGTGTTGTCTTTGTGGCTAAGGTCGGAGGAATGCGATGATGTCAGGCTCATCTGCCTGCGTTGTGCTGTGTTCCCACCTGCACAGGCACATACCTGCCTCTTAGCTCAACAAATAGGGACTGAGCTGCAGGGGGGGAGGGGGGAGCGCACGGGGTGGTTTACAAAGAGATTAACATCGGCGGGAAAAGACAGTTTTTAAGGGTGGAAAAATAAGGGGGTCGAGCGAGGGGGATTTGCCAAAGATCTCAGCTTTGTTTAGACAGAATTAGATGGGATTTTTGTTCATTTGGATTTGGTCTTATAGCTGGAATGTGGACTCATGAGTGACGTGACAAGGAGAGTCACGTCAGCATGGTGTTGAGTTCTCCCTGGCAAAGCGTGCAGATGAGTGACCTGCAGTAACTTTTAAATACGTAATCCCTCAGCCCCCCACCCGGCCGTGTTTGGCTGATTTACTCGGCTCATAGAAAAGGCCGAATGAACACAACATGGGTGAAGCAACTTAAACTTGATTGGCATGAGGTAGAAAAACCCCTTGCCTGCTGTTGCTGATTTCTTTGAATAATGACATCATTGCATAGCAGAGAATGACTAGTTGGTTAATAAACAAGCTGATCAACAAAAACATTGATCTATAACAGATTTGATCAAATTGTTTCCAGATTCTGCAGAGGGGAGGATTCTCCGTTTTTTTCTAGTCTCACGTGATTCTTTATACTTACTTCATCATCTGATATATAAAAATACAACTTTTTATTTGATCATCTATTGTACGATATATGACCATGACAATAAGGAGTTGTCCTCTGCAGTCTATTAGAAAGAATGCTTAGAAACTTTAAGGCACCTCGGCTACTAATTCTAATCCTTGGTCAGTGATTGGTGATGATTGATGAATCAATGATTTTTATCTTTTATAGAAAGTAAAACAAAAACAAATGATCAGTTAACAACGATTCGGAAAACGCTACAAATCATCACAAGTGAGAAGCTGAAACTATGAGCTCCTTCACTTGTAAAAAGTAATGAAT